ATATATGTGAAGCTTTATTTTTACCAGGTATGAGTTGGCAGCACTAGCAGACTTACATTTGATATGAGTTCATTTTGTTTTTATCATTTCTTCTGTCTATTTCCTTGTAAGTCTATAATTTATTTCCTTACCTTTTATAATTAATTTTACTATTTTCCCCTGTTCCCTTTTCTATAACAGTTGCTGGGAAAAGTTCCTAATTATTTCCTTGAATTGGAATTTCCTGCGCTGTCTCTCTTCCTCTCTCAATGGAATTTCTTAATTGAAAATGGAAAATTGCTGATTCATATTAGGTTGTGCATCTGACTTAGAATTATTTTCCTTATCTACAGATTTGTCGGGCACTTGCTTACATCCATAATAGCATTGGAGTGTGCCATAGAGACATAAAACCTCAAAATTTGTTGGTATGTTACAAAAGAAATTTGCTTCCAGTATTTTGTTTTCCAATTTTATATCTCTGTTGGTCATTTTTTTGTGCTACTTCATTTGTGCTTTTGTGATTATTTTATCTCCCTAAATTTTCATTTTGAATATAACAGGTTAATCCACACACTCACCAGCTGAAACTCTGTGACTTTGGAAGTGCCAAAATTTTGGTTTGTATTTTGGCAGCCAAGAGTTGTTTATATGCTTTTTGTTGCATATAGCTGTCTGTTTATCATATGCGAATTCTTGTGTGACTTTGACAGGTTAAAGGAGAACCAAACATTTCTTACATCTGTTCTAGGTACTATCGAGCACCAGAACTTATATTTGGTGCAACTGAATATACCACCGCTATTGACATCTGGTCTGCTGGTTGTGTTTTGGCGGAGCTACTGCTTGGACAGGTTGGCAACTTTCTGTATATGAAAATAACCTTTGTTGTTTGCCATATTCATACACGTGACAAATAAATATTTATTTTGATGCCAGCCTCTCTTTCCTGGTGAAAGTGGTGTGGACCAGCTTGTTGAGATAATCAAGGTAATTTTGATACTGGTCTAAAGTCATGTTCTAATTTGGTCATGATTTTGATTCTGCAGAATTTATGAATCTTGTTCTTTAGTGGAAAACAGGTCATATTCAGTTGGTATTTATTTTCATTCCAAAAGAAAAGATATTAACCAAAATGATTGTCTTTCTTCAGTGCTTCTGAAGGAGCACCAGAGCTTATTTATTCTATATATTGTGTGTTTATTTTCTTCTATTGACAAAAAAATATGATTCTTGTGCAGGTCTTAGGTACACCAACAAGAGAAGAAATAAAGTGCATGAACCCTAACTACACTGAGTTCAAGTTTCCCCAAATTAAAGCTCATCCTTGGCACAAGGTACTAGGGACTATGGGCACTTTTTTTTTTTGGAGGAAGCATGAGCATGAAATAATGACTCACCAAGTCACCTAGAATGTCTCATTGACAGTAATGTATCATTTTGATTCAGATATTTCACAAGCGTATGCCACCTGAAGCTGTGGATCTCGTCTCGAGACTACTGCAGTACTCTCCTAATCTTAGAAGCACTGCTGTGAGTATACAGTTTCCATACAGAAACTTTAACCAATATTTTTTTCTCACTTCTCCAAATTTTAATCTGTGATTTTCCAAAACATTTGCTTTCTTTTCTATTCTCATTCAGTAGAGATGTCTCTGTGTCTTTGCACGCATGTGCACTTGCTGGATAATTTTGATAAGCTGCATGCATGTGTCTTGTCAATTGGTGCATGTCATTTTGTATAATAGGATTTTCGACTGTGGAGTACATTGGCATTTGGATTTTCTTCTTTCTATCAATGTTCTCTTCCTTGGTGTAATTTTGACAAAATAATTCCTTTTTTTCTTGCAGCTGGAGGCTCTGATTCATCCATTTTTTGATGAGCTCCGTGACCCCAATACCCGCTTGCCAAATGGGCGTTTCCTTCCTCCACTCTTCAACTTTAAATCTCATGGTATGCAACCTTATAGAAATGCTTGTCTATAATTTGTTTGTTAAAATAGAGTTGTATTGACCTATGATTCGTGTTGTCCAGAACTTAAGGGAGTTCCTACAGAGATGCTTGTTAAGCTGATACCTGAGCATGCAAGAAAGCAGTGTGTCTTTCTTGGCTTGTGATGCAGTTGGTTGTAGGTGAAGTCTGCTTTGCAGAAAAATGTGCCTGCCTTGGGTTGTGATGGGGGGGGGGGGGGGGGTGGTTTGTAGGTTTAAGTCCTGCTTCTCGCAGAAAAAAATGTGAAACCGTTGTAGAGGGATAGCTAGTGGGTGGCCTATTCAAGTGCTTATGAGGACTAAGGAGAGGCCATGCTCTCTGTTTTCCGCCCTTAAATGTTCATTTTGTTCTTATTATGGTTATTATTATTATATATATATATTCTTAAGAAATATTTTTGGGACTTTTTTTTTTTTTGAAGAAAGCAGATTGGAAGGTTCTGCAAAGTATGTTGATATGATGTCAGTGGAACCCGTATTTTGAATTGATGACAGAAGAAATTGTAACAACCTGTTTGATCCATT